AATAATAATAATAATAATAATAATAATAATAATAATAATAATAATAATAATAATAATAATAATAATAATAAAAATAAAATAAAATAAGAACGGTCTAATCCAGGTATGTAGTGAAATTGTTCATATCCTCCGAATCGAGATTAAATGAAGAGGACAAATTGCATAAGGAATAAAAATATTAGGAGTTTTCGTAAACTCAAAGAAAATGATGGTTGACAACATCAAAAAGCAAAGAAAGAATAGTCTTTGGTAATCTTGGTTTTAAATAATATTTTCTCGCTCTTATTCATTTTTTTAAAAGGATATTAATAAGCAATAGTGCTTTCATCGAAAAAGCTTCAGTGATTTTATCATCGTATTAATCCGAAGATGATAAAGGGAGTCTATTTTCCTTCAAGAGTTTTTTTTCCATGAATATACACTGGATAGCTAGTAGAATCAAGGTGACAATGGTTCATATCAAAAATCTTAATTTTTAATCACAAAAATATACATTACTTACATCTAATTAATATATAATACACATTATACGAAGTTGTCTTCGCCACCGCTAATATTAGCATTCGAGGATCCCATTGACCGTGGATATATACCTGGGCTTCGCAGTGATTTGCCATACAATGCATTCTTTAGAGCACGTGATGCAAATACTGTCAGACCAAGTCCGGCCCAATCTTCATCTAATAAATCACGTAAATCGCCCACTGTCATAATATCTTGATGCTTTAATTTGGTTGTCCATTCTTTGGCCTTTTCAGGACGATTAGTAGCAACCGCTGCTTCGTGAACGAAATCTTCTATTGGAGTTTCATTCGGATAGTCTATATTTAATTCGTAAACAAGAGTTAGGGATTTTAATTCATAAAATATATAAAATGTATAAATTTCATTCAATATGACTATTACCTTTTACCGGTAATATATCGTCTAATTCTTCTGTTTGCCATTCTTGTGTCTGTGTTTTGCGTTGTGACTCTGATGTTGCTGGTCCAGAACTTGTGGAATTTGGGCTATTATCACGATCAAGTGTTAAAGGTGGTGCAAAAGATCCTGGTGAGTTGTGAGGCGGCAAATGGGGGGAAATGCCATTAGGAAAAGGCGGCGTTCCCGGCTGGGAATTCCAATGCCGACTAATTTCATCATTCGAATCATCATCTTTCGATGATTTATTCAAATCACGCAAAATTCGATTGATCTCATGCGTAATAAATTGTTGGTATTTTCGAGGAAGAACTTTTTCGTCAATCTGCAGCGCGTTATTTTATAACAGAAAAATCATCAATAATTCAATTCTAACGCGATAAAGACTTATGATTAATCTTACCATTTCTTCAACTACTTCCTCTGCAGTATCTTTTTCCACTTTAAAATCAAATTTAACCGATAAATTGTCCGTTCCTTCTTTAAAAACTACTTGCAGTTTCAAATGAGTTTTTGTCTCATCCGCTGCTGCTAACAATACCTCAGGCTCCACTGTGAAGAAAGGATGGGCCCTTATTTGTTCAGCGGTATATCTTTGAGTTTACAAAAAGGCAGCAAGCAACTATGGTCAATCAATCAATAATTCGTAACGATTAAATGGATCGATCACTTATTAAAAATTAGGGTAGAAAATGATTATTCTCCCATTCGAGACAATCTACCTTTCATTTTCAGGACTCAAACAATTATTTATCAAGTCTAGAATTTCTTCGTCTTGAACTTTTGCCAGACTTTCTGGTTTTATGCCCTAGTATTGAATTACTAAGTATCACGTAATAAAATACACGGTAGACTAATAACAATAATTAAGGGAGTTATTACTTACTTGAATGACTTTTTTATATATTTGAGCAGCATTCTTGCATTCACTATAAGGATATTCACCGGTAACCATTTCCAAAAGACACATCCCAAATGCATAAATATCCACTTTCTCGTTATACCCTCGTTCTTCGTACATTTCGGGAGCCATAAACTCAGGTGTTCCTACATAGTATATTGGTTATTTAGGTAACCAATAATAGTTCACAACATTCATTTATTATTTATTATATATATAATATATATTATTGGTTTAGATCGCCGAGCAATATATAATAATATAATAATAGTAGAAAGAAAGAGAGCGAGACAGATCTTTGCCTGCTTGCCCTCAAACCACCACCACAGACAGAAAAGCAGTTTGGATTTGTACTGCATACCGATGACGGTATACTTCTTTCCAAGTTTCATTTTGGCGGTTCCCATGTCACCGATTTTCACTTCACCATGTGCCCCATTAATGAATATGTTATCGCATTTGATATCACGATGGATTATTGGCGGATTATGTGAATGAAGATGTATTAGACCTCTGAGTATCTGTCGCGACCATCGTTTCACGATTTTGGGATTCGGTAGCGAGAGTTTACGAATATATCTAAATTTTTGTTTTAATGATTATATTTTTCGCATTTAAAGATTAAAACAAAATAATAGTGAATTCTATAATTTACTCCCGCAAAGTCCCAGATGTCATCAATTCTGTGACAAAAATGAATTCAGCGTCTTTATACCAACAGTAATGAAAATTGATAATATTCGGATGTCGAACTTGTCTTAAAATTTCTATTTCTTGATTTAATTCATTATATTCGGCTCGTGTGGTCTTTGGGGATAATGTAAAATTAAATATATAGTTAAGAAAAAAAATCCACGAGGTTATTTTACTCTCCGAGTAAATGCAGATGATGAATATACCTGAAAGCAATTCCACGCAACTTCATAACCTTCATCACGATCAATGGCTTTCCAGACGACCTTGTAAGCTCCTTTTCCCAAAACCGTGTTCAGCTACCAGTTTATATAAAGAAAAAAAAAATAATAAAAATAACACGAACAGATACTTTGCATAAAAAAAATACTGAAGCAATATTTCTTTTCTTTAAATGAGAAGTGGCTCACAGACGAATTAAATAGCAATTATGATAATATATGTGAAACGAGTTCATACTTTAGCATATCTGCCATTAGGACTTATTTCGATAACTGTCTCGGGATCTTGCTTTGAGTGGTCAAACACTCCATTAGATTGAGTAACAGGTGAAGTTCCATTATTATAAGAATCTGGCATATAATAAGTATTCAAGTCGTTATTTGAACCGTTTCTTCCCTTACTGATTTCAACACCATGGCCATTTGATTCTACACCACTTCCATTAAAATGGTGCACACCGTTTTTTTTGGAAGAATGGATTCCGTTAACAATGGGATGAGGAGTATCCATAAATAAAGACCAACACGTTTTAACTGAGGCTAAATTAATAGTCGTCGAGGGAGTCCAAGAGGGAAGAAATTTGAAGCCTGTTTACGTTTACAACTGGTATTCAGGTCTTACACATTGCGATTTTTGGATAGATTGAATAGCCAATCAAATTCTAAATAAGTCGAAGTCCGTAACGGTAAGGACCAAATGTATTATCCATTTTATTCATTTTATTCATTTGATATACATACAAAATTAACATTCAAGGATTTAAGCTTCCTAGAGATCTAATATTCTGCATGCATTATTACTATACTTCAAATTTTGCCTTCCCTGCGCAATTCATTATATAAGGTTAAAGCCGACAATGCTTTCATATCAGGTATTTTCCATAAATCATTCAGTTTTATAAGCTTCACAGTAATACTCTCGCCATGCTCTCTTAATCCGCCCAATTTTCCCTCCAATTCCTGCACTTGTTCACGAGGCATTTCTTTAACGTATAGACATAACCTCATGAATTCATCACATCCTCCTGGTGAAGGATACACGCCACGATAGTTTTTACCAAAAGATAATTCAGTCATGTCTATAAGCTCATGCGCCTTAATTTCTAGCCCAATTTCTTCTTTTATTTCCTCGCTTGCCTTTCCAGCAAAATTTCCAGATCCATCCAGCATTCCTGACATTATTACAAGGATAAAGCAATTATCGGTATTATATAGATAGGCGAAAAGTTTTCTGCCTTATATATAATACCTGCTGGTAATTCCGGGAATCCAAGTGACGGAACAGCTATACGTGGTTGAACTGTAAGAACCGCGTGTTCTAATACGATATTACTGTCTTTCTCCTTGGACCGAAGAATCAATAATACCGCCACAGAGCCACCTCGCTACATACAAAGGAAATATTATCAAACATAATATTGGCAATCTAAAAACTGCTTATTTGCATTCTTTGTTTTTGTTAATAAAAAAACAAAGCAACTTTATAATATAATGAACGTTAATTCAAACCATAAAAACTATTCCTGGAATATTCTTTCCATTTTCCGTTAAACGCGCATCAACTTTGAATTTTACAAACCCGAGCTTTGGTCCAAAATAGTCCACATTTTGAATTTCAACTTTCTTAACTTCCAATTCTTTTTTTAAGTCATGTGTTTCTTTCGACAAAGCATTGACCCAATCCACAAAAGGTGGGAAGCGAAGTACCGCCGGAATATCGATATCACCATGTGCGGCCGTCACCGGTATTTGAGCGCCAGCAATATTGATAGATTGCTCTCTTGACATGTTGATTAAGCGACGAATAAACCCGCTCTTATAGTAAAAAGTATTTTTGAAAAGGTTTCTTTTGAAATGAATCATAAAAATTACGGGAACAATGGAAACTAGCAAAAATATGATTGGCTGAGATTTCTACGTCTGCTAATCTACTAATTTTGGTGATAAAAATTCCAACAAGTTCGCCAAATTAAGACGTTAAATTTTTAATAAAGATATATAGAAGTGTGTGTTGGGTCTCTATCACTAAGTGCGAGATTAGTCATCTTTAAATCACATAGTCACCAAATTGAGCCCTGACTGTTTACGATGGCTTCACAGAATACTGCTACACCTGATGCATCTATTCAAACTTCAAGTAACGGAGGTAAGCATATAAGATACATTTTCGGCAAATTATAACTGGAATCTTAAGTTTGCTGGACCTTAAATACTAATACTTTATTCGCACGCTTACCTCCTTAGAGGTTGATCTCGTAACAGAGAAATTTGACGATTTATTGAAATCGCAGGAAGAAGATAGTAGTTATCAAACTTACTCTTTATCAACTTAGATTCTCTTGATATTATTAAAACCTTACTCAAGAATAACAAACTTTATATAGTTAAACATAGTTCACTCCAAGAGACAAGTAACGAAGTTGAAATCCAGACAGCCCAAGCAGGTTCCGAATTATTATCTGTAAAAAGTTTTGAAGAATTAGGATTGTATGTCTTGATTTATGTATAATCATCTACTATTTTTTTTCTTTGAATATATATATATATATGGTATCTTTACTAATGATATTTTATATATTTTAGAGATAGTAATTTATTAAGGGGTCTATATGAAATGGGATTCTCGAGGCCATCAAAAATACAAGAAAAAGCTTTACCACTGCTTCTTGCAGATCCGTATGTGGATACTTTTAATACTAGCATACATTTATTTTTTATATACAATTAATATTGATGATTAAATATAAACTAATTCTGCTTTTTAGCCCTCAAAATATGATTGGTCAGTCTCAATCGGGTACCGGAAAAACCGCAGCCTTTGCTCTAACTATGCTTAGCCGAATAGATTACGATTCAGAGACAACGCAGGTAATGATGAAAAAGATAAATACTTTATTTGCAAGTAAATAAAATCTAAATAATAATGCATAATGGATTATTTTAAAAAGGCAATGTGTTTGGCGCCTACTCGGGAATTAGCGCGGCAAATTACATCTGTTATAAAAAAGATGGGAAAATATACAAAGTTGACACTTACAGAGGCAATTAAAGATGCTTACGATAGAACCCAAAAAATCAATTCTCATCTAATAGTTGGGACACCCGGTACTCTCACAGAAATGATCCGAAAACGACTGGTTGATCCTAAGAATGTCAAAATATTTGTATTGGACGAAGCTGACAATATGTTGGATCAACAAAGTCTTGGTGATCAAAGTATTAGGCTCAAAAAGTGAGACACGTTTTAACTATAAATTCCTTTATTTACACATGAGCATCTTCTTATTACATTTTTTTTTAGTATGATGCCTCAATCATGTCAAATAGTATTATTTTCAGCAACTTTTTCGGATCAAGTTAGAACTTTCGCGGAACGATTTGCCCCAAATTCAAATCAATTCAAACTGAAAACCGAAGAATTATCGGTAGAAGCCATTAGACAATATTTTATGGATTGCAAAAGTGCAGAACACAAATTCGAAGTTTTAGATGCTCTCTATACGCTGTTAACAATCGGTCAAAGTATAATCTTTGTGCAGGTATGCGATGAATTATATAATAATAAAGCTCATAATAATAAATATTTTACAAAATATTCATTCAACTTTATCGCGGAAAAGAAACGTGAAACAGCTGATACTATTGCGAGGAGAATGACAGAAATGGGTCACAAAGTCATTAATATACACGGCGGACTTTCTCCTACCGAGCGAGACCAGGTGATGGATGGCTTTCGTCGTGGGGATGCCAAAGTACTCATCACCACTAACGTTTTATCACGAGGTATTATCTTCGTTTTGGTATTACAATCCAAAAAAAGACACTCGAACAAAATCTATTTTGCATTAATTAGGTATCGACGTACTACAAGTAAACTTGGTAATTAACTACGACCTTCCCGTGGATGTGCACGGTAATCCCGATTACGAAACTTATTTGCATCGTATTGGACGCACTGGTCGGTTTGGTCGAACAGGTGCTTCTATTAACTTTGTACATGATACTCAAACATGGAATATCGTAAAATCATTCGAAAACTATTTTGGACGGGAAATTATTAGAGTGGCAACAGAAGGCTATGGCGAAATTGAAAGATTGTTAAGAGATGTTCATTAAAAAAAAGGAGCGAGGAAAAATTTTATAATAAAGATTATCCTACCAAAGTTTAAAATAAAAAGGAAATTGTTTTGCTTTAGTATTATTTATTAGAATTATACAATATTTAATTTTGTTATATAATAATTAAAGAATTTTTAGTGAGCTCGGGAGTAATGATTTTCGGAAAATTTTTATCGCATATATTAAGAGGTAAAATTGTCTCACCGAGAGAATTATTGGTTACTAGCCACACTAGATCACATGCCCGAGTTTTTGAGTTGGGTAAACAATCAAATCACATGAGCAATATTTTTCGTCATACTAAAATGACATTTTCACTATTCCCAAGAGTGAGCCATACAAGTTGGATTCGTCAAAATTGAAATAAATCAACTTTTGAGCATGGTAAGATTATCTTATTAAAAGGTTGCTTAACCTGACCTTATCACTGATTTGACAATTTTTTATTACGGTACTTGCTGGCTTTCCACATTTATTTTAAACGAAATTCACTTTATTATACGCAAAGGCTTCAACACCCATTTTAATAGGTTTAGGTGTCACAATAGCTGCCTTGACGGGTCGACATTTGATTAAAAAATTCCCACAAATTGCAAAAAATGCTCAAAATCCATTGTCATATATAAAATCATCACGCACGCCTATGTACAAACAGCTGTATATGGGTGGATTTGAACAAAAAGTTGATAAAAAGGAAGCGTTGCTTATATTGGGGTTAAAGTATTTTTTTTTGTTCTTCGAATTCAATAATATTTATTATCTACTTTATTTTGATTGACTGTTATGTTTTCATAGACCTAATGGCCTTAATAAAGCTAAACTCAAAGATGCACACCGGCGGATTATGCTGGCTAATCATCCTGATCGTGATGGATCTCCTTATATTGCATCAAAGATCAACGAGGCAAAGGATTGCCTCGAAAAAACCGTCAAATCATGAATCGAATTAGTATTGCATGCCGTAATAGGGTTAATAAAGTTGAAAGATTGCAACTTTTTGATTTAAAAATCGTAATTTTTGCTGTAATTGATGTAATACTCTAATATTCGTAATTGTTGTAAAGTTCATTATTCGTAATTGGTGTAAAATTCGCAATTAATATTTGTACAAAATAATGAAAATCCGTAATAATGAGTAATTTCACGTACGGCCTCTCGGGCTCAATATCTTGAGATCCGGTGGAGAAAATCGAGTGTAAGACCCACCAGTTGATTCGCCAGAACCTAGGGAATCGAATGATCAGCTTTATACTCGCTTCCCGTCACTGGATATTGAGCCCCAAAGAAGCTATACATAAAGTATTCGTCAAAAATAAATCAGAATTCCACGTACGGCCTCTTTGGAACTCAATATCTCGAGATCTACTAGTGGGAATTGAATATAAAACCGGCCATTGATTCACTAGAATCTAGAGAATCGAATGGTAGACTTTATACTCTACTACTAAGTTACGAATCATGTGATTTTAAGAGGTAAACCAATCAAATCGAAAGATCAATGTTTTATTTTTGTATCTCGAAATTTTGCCTATGAAACTGTATTCTAACAACCTTAACTTTTAATCTAACCCGAACCTTAAACCTCAAATAGTCCATATGTGAATCTGCCCATATAATATCGATTGACACGGGTTTTAAATTTTGATTTATTATAACTTAGTTAGTTCAAGTCTCGAATCACGTGATTTTTAGTGGTAAGCCAATCAAATCACAAGATATAAAATACTAATAGCATTTCGTTAAAGTTAGGATTAATGTTAGGATTAGGATTATATTGTATATTGTACGCACAAAAGTATATAGTAAAATTTGCAAGAAATTAGCATTTGAATTTTTTTGTTACATATTAATCTTACGATTATAATCTTAAAAATCACGTAATTTGCGATTTTTCATCATACTAGGATATCCCATTTTTTATTTTTAAAAATATACTCTAATATTTTTTGATAAATAATATTTATATATTCAAAAACTTGTTCACTCTATATTATAAGTATAATTAAACTCAAGCAGAAATTATCATTACTCAAAGAGTTAGAATTTTTGGATGAATATTATATTATTTCTTATACTTTTTTGGCTTGATTTCAATTTTAAAGAAAATAAAATCAAATATTAATTAAAAATAAATTGAAACTTAGAGAAATTAAAAATCAAAGTGAAAATAATATCTTTATAACAATTTAATAATATTAAAAGAGTTTATATTTATCTAAAAGATTATAAATCAAGTTAAAATTCTTCTAATTATAACTAAAAATATATTAATAATTTGTAATATACTATTTATAAAAATTTATAATGTATATTTTATTGAAAGATATATAGAATAATATAAATTAAACTAATAAAGTTATAAAATTCAGTTATAAATCTGTTTTTATTATAGTTAAATAACAAGAAAATCAAAAAAATTTATTTTTTTTAATTAAAAACATAATATATATTTTTCTTTTATTAATAATTAAAAATAATAAAATTCTTAGATAAATAAAATTCTTTATATAATTAAAATAATAATATTTATTAAAAATTAAAAGTAGATATTTAAAAAAAATTAATACAAATTTTTAATTAAAATTTAACTTATATTAAATATTTTAAATATTATTATTATAAATAATATTAATATAAAAGATAAATTCTTTTAATATAATAAAATAAATTTATTAAATTCTATTTCTTTTATATTAAATTAAAAATAAAATTATTAATAAATTTTTATAAATAATAAAATAATAAAATTAAAATTATAATAAATTATTAAATATATAATTTTTTAAATTTTAATAATATATGTAATCTTCTTATTACGTAGTATAATATATCCAGATAATTCACATAGAAAAATCAAGATATAATATTATATCAGAAAAATTCATATAGAAGATTCAAGATATAAACAATATAATTTGAAATAGAATTTACACAAAAAACTAAATCAAAAGTAAATAAGAAATTATATTTTAAAACTTATTCTTTATTCTTGTATTCATTGTTATTAAAATTACAAAACAGATACAGCAT